CGGGCAAAACCACAGCCCCTCGTTTTAACCATTCCAGCCCAACGGAGGCAAGAGGTGAGCCCACAGGGCAGCGCTGAAGTGTACCAGTCTGTCCCAAGCACGGCTGTGAACCCACACCTCTGAGAATTACAGTACAGAACAGGGACCAGTCCAATTACGAGTTCTGAACAGGGAGGAATATGACAGCAGTACCGGTGGAAGGCGAGCAGCAGACTGCCTCTTCAGGCTGCGTACTACACCAAGCTTACCCTAGGGCAGTGTGTAAATATTACAGCACAGTCCAGGAGAGAAATAAAGCAGGATACAGAATTAAGTACCAATCTGACTCATACCAGTGTACAGGAGGAAAGTTCAGTAAACAGTATTACAGCCATCAGAGTGTGACAAAAGGACAGGGGCCAAGCTCAGGAACAAGATGATGGCGATCAAGGCCATTAGCCAGATCCCACTGGTACACCTGCACTGATGAAGAGTGCACTACCACACTAGATGAAACTCGTACAAAGGCTGGAGAACGAAAGCACAGGCCCCCTAAGCCTTCCACAGGAAAAGACCGGGGTGAAGCAGATACATGGAGGACAAGCGAGGTCCTTATACAAGTCAGTCAGGCAAAAGTACAGGGGCTGAGTTCAGTAGCCAGGGAACAGTGTTACAGCGAGCAGGGGTAGAGTCACGTACGTTCTTCTCCATGGAACACGTATAGAGTTCCAGACCGATGTAGGAATTAAAGAGCACTGGTACAGAGCCCAGTAACCAGAACAAGGGTTACTCAGGTCGAGAGTTCAATACAGCTGTCCGTGTCCAGGTGAGTTCAGTATCCCTGCTTAACAAACAACGGTACAAGTAAGAGATCACGGTGCAGATTAGTGTAACACTGTAGTAGAGGTGCAGAGTTCAGTACACACAACTGAGTATTACAAACAGTACAGGCGAAAATACAGATCCAATTACCATACAAGTACACCATTCAACACACACATCTCGATATTACATATAGTAGAGGAGGTCAGTATACACACACATGAGGAATACATTACAGATCAGAATATTACAAGGAGTACAGGTACAGAATACACATCTATGCATTTTAAACAGTAGAGGTAAGTTCTAAAGTTGTATTCTAAAGACTACATCCATACAAGTGAATACACAGAGCAGAGTGTAAGAAACAGTACAGGTGAGTTCAGTATACACATCTGAGAAATACAACAGTACAAGTTAATACATAGAGCAAAGTATTACAACAGTACAGGTACAGAGTACACCTGAGTATAAGAAACAGGACAGTTAAGTTCAATACACACATTTGAGTATAATAATACAGGTGAGTTCAGTATACATAGTGAGAAATACAACAATACAAGTGAGTACATAGATCAAAGTATTACAGCAGTACACACATCTGAGTATAATAAACAGTACAGGTAAGTACACAGATAAGTATAATATTGTAATGGACAGAGCACACAGCTGAGTATTACAAACAGTACAGGTGAGTTCAGTATACACATCTGAGAAATACAACAGTACAAGTAAGCACACAGATCAGAGTATTATAACAGTACAGGTACAGAGCGCACACCTCTGAGGATTACAAAGAGTACAGGTGAGTACACTCATCAGAGTAGTTTAGCGGTACAGGTGCAGCGTTCAGTGTAGAATTGTGAGTATAACAGTACAGGTGAGTTCAGTATATAAACATCTGAGGAATACAACACTACAGGTGAGAGATCAGAGTACTATAACAGTACAGGTACAGAGTACACATGTCTGAATATAACAAACAGTACAGGTGAGGTCAGTACACACCTGAGGAATACAACAGGACAGGAACAAGTTCAGTAT